GTCAGATATTTAAACCTCTACACTGAAATAATGGAGATGACTGCACTGGTCATTTTACGTAGTGGAGGAAGAGAGACTTTGTTGACTCATTCACTGCTTGTAAGACACCTCAAAATATTGGCCTGACATGTTTATAATTCATTATTAAATTTTGCCAGTAGATCAAATTTTTGTTTGAAAGAATTTGTTTTGCATAAAAAGCAAATTCCTCTATTCTACACCGGTAAGTTCGGTAACTTTCATCGCTTTTTCTGAATAAAAAGAAAATACCTCCTTATCTTCTATCCAAAGTAACTTACAATGCTATACTCAAACCTGTCCTGAGTGAATTTAAAAGGATAGCTTGTAGGATAAATAGATTTGAATGTAAGCCTATAGTCAGCCCAGTTTTTAGTGTACTTTCAAAACAAGGCATTTTTTTACTTTTACTTGAGTTGTATTTTACTGGATGACTTTTACTTGAGGAGCATTGTGGTGTGACATCTGTACTTTTACTTTATTATGAAAATTGAGTACAATAATTACTGTATTTTTTCCCCCACTGCCTGGGTGTGTCAGTGCTGGTCCGGTCCGCCATTCAGGCAGTTCAGGGTGTTTTAGTTACTGGCTCATCTCTGGAGTCAATAACCACATTGGAAATTGCAGCCTAGACATTACAGATTATAGATGACAGGTAGCAGATGAGAAAGTGGACATAAACACAGGGGCTATAGTGTCTGAGCAACATGGGAATTGTAAATGAAGTATGTGACTTAAGGACAGTGTTTATTATCGACAGGTAATAAAAATGTAGAAAATGTAACTTGTCATTTTTAAGTTACATTCCTAAGTTGACAGCATAACCTCTCTCGCAAAATTTTCTAGAAGTATTATCTCCTGTGATAGTCAAAGAAATATTTTCTATTCTTGAAAAATAATTTTCTTATTTTTTATTTCAGTAAGGTGGTTTGTGACAAACTTGCTTGCAAAACTGAGATTAAAATGTTATTGATTAATTAATTGAGATTGAGCTAATATATATATTTTTAAATAATTAATTGAGATTAATTAATTATTTAAAAATATATATATTAGCAACTCATTCACGTGGACTGCAAGCTGTCAGTAGTTCACACACTTGTTAGTTAGAAAACCGGGATTAAGTTAAGCCCCCCCCCCCCCCCCGGGTCCCTGTGAAGAAGAAGAGCCAGCCCTGCTACTGTACCAACAATAATTAATAAAGCCCTCATTAATTACCCTAGTATGGATAATAGCGCCCACTCATTTGCCTAAAAATAAACTAATTAACTTAAACATGCTTGACTTGAGGGATTTTTATGCTGTAGTTATAAGGAATGATATACTTTTTTCCCAGAGTTTGGTTCTTGCATTTGTTCTATGCTACCAGGCACTCACCCCTGCACATGCCACTAAACTGGCGAGAAAATTAAGTAATCACTCAGGAGTGGCAGCAAGTGCCCAAGTCCTACGTATGCTGATGAACAGAACAGAAAATACACAAGAATTACTGGCGTGAACACGATCCTGTTTCAGCTCAGAGCCAAGGCAGTATTACTGGGACTTTTCAGCAAGTTGAGAAGCTAGGTGTCCTTTTGACTTCAGGAATGAAGCTTCTATGTCTGTAGAGCAGATTGGGATGGAAACATCATGAGAAATTAAGCACCTTTGTTTCTCCAGTTTTCCTCTATTAAAACCTAACAAACGACAAACACTTTTTCTCACACTACAATAATCTTCAACAGATACTGATTAATGATTCGATCAATCAAAGTCCAAATGCAATCATCCATTCAATCCAGACTAATTAATTATGAAGTTAAATGGAGTACACAGTCAGACACCATCAGGGGTCTTCAGGACCAGAACTATGAGGTCCTGTGCTTTTCTCATGTTTTCAAAGACCTTGGGGCTCCTTAGAGCACTTGACAGAATTCTTCCCAGCAGAGCAGAGCAGCTTCGTCATGAATAATCACCAGGACTATTGGCCTCTTTTCCGTCACCTCTAAGATTCAGGATGGTGACCCGTCTGCAGCATCGACATTAGCTCTGACACTCATTGTAGCCATTTTATCACACGGCCAAATACAAAGGCAATGCTTTCCCGGACTGTCAATGCAAGCACACTGTTTTTCCATGAATACACTATCATTTCTAAAATCTTATTTGTCATAACATAATCCATTTCTTTTTCAGGTGCTATTGCATAGCCAATCCTCAGACATTGCTGGGTTTTACATAAGGCTCCAGAATTGCTACAGAAACCACTGCTGCTATGACAGGGCCACCCAATATGTAGTTACTGGGTGTTATGTGTGATTTGTGTGGGATGGTATTGAGCTTTGAAGTTCTCCTCAGATTGTTTTCTGTTCTATGTGATGCTTCCAGCCCATGTTGGACTCTTCACTCTGCTTATCTGCTCTGGTAACTACTTCTCCATTTAAGCCCACTCTTCTCAGAGCACTCGCCTTTCCCCACTACGGGCTTTGAACAGTGACCTGTCTCCTGTTTTCTTATAAAATGGTGTCACCTGTCAGACAGGTCACAAGACAGCTGTGTCCCCTGCCTTCATTAAGACTGTTGGTATATGGGGCATCCACTCTTCCCATTGAAGTCTCTAAGAGCCTTTTCTTTAGCCATGTTCATTATGTATTAAACACGTAACCCCCACTAATAGTACTAATTGTTAATGGCAATTGTATAATTTGCCTATATGTCCATCACTGTCTACACCAGTTCCCCAAGAGGCCGTTTCCATCAACAACACAAAACCAGGTGCATGATTTTTTTTCTGTTAAGTTGCTTTAAGTTTTTTTTATATCCATGAAAAAATTTGCCAACTGTGGGTGCGGGTGGAGCGGTGCTGATGATAAAATTAGTTAGAATACACAAACACGTTGCATGCAGGCCAAACATTTGACTCTTGCAAGCTGCTGTTTCAACAGGCTTTATAGTCTATTATACATATTGATACTTAATTACAATTCTCTTGCATACAAAAACTAAATAGCAAAATGGGCGGGTCTTGGAGTTTTTGACTGTTTGACAAAGTTTTGTTTTGGTCACAACTTTGTTCTGCAATGCTCTTTAGTGAACAAACAGTGGCCTCTACTGGTGAAATCAGGAGCGGTCTGCAGTTACGCAGGGCTGCCTTGGGTAAAGGCAAGGGAGCACAATAACACATGAGTTTCATTAAATTAAGAATTAATTTAGCTAATTTAGAATGTATAGAAGCACTGAGTGCCACAAATCTGATGATTTTATGTCAGATTTTATGCTACTGATGATGTTAATACTACATGCAGAACTTTTTTAACAACTTTTCACATTTGTCCTTTTGATAATCTGTGAGGAAATTTGCTTTACAACTCCCCATCTTGTTCTCTGTAGGTGAGAGCAACTTGGCTGCACAGGGCATCCACCTGTTGCAGCACCCAGGGAGCTGGGGGTTAAGGGCCTTGCTCAAGGGCTGGAGTGAAACCAGTGTCCTTCTGATCACAACCCCAGAGGCTTAGCCCATTGAGCTGCACACTACCTCCATACACTCATGGTGGCCAACTTAATATGTACAGCAAATTGTGTAGCTGCAACTCAATATATGCTGCATAGTGAAAAGGTCTAGAGGTCTGACTCAGCATTAGAGTAGATAGAATGTATGATCTAAGTTATTCTGGGCATGGTGTGATTGTTGCTGTCATACGTGGTGGTTCCAGCATCTCAGAAACAGATGCCTTCCTGTGATTTTCACACACTACAGTGTCCAGGGTTTAGAAAAGTGCGATGAACAAAACTCATGCAGTCTGTGGCTGATCCAAGCAAAAGCCTTCTCTTAATAAGAGACTCAGGCCAGACTACAAAAATAAAAGTAACAGCTCAGTACAACAGAGATGTTTCTCTGGAGACACAGCCCTTATAGTACATTACAGATGAGAGCTTCATAAAGCATTCATAATGCATAATACACATGGCTATAATTTGTTATGCCTTTTGATTGATGGGTGATTGTCGTGAAACCATCGGCCTTATTTCTAATACCTCTGTATCATTAACCCAAAGGTCTCCATTTAATGCTAATTTGACAAATCAAAAAATAGTAGTTTGCTTTTATGCGTAGAATTTATATGTTGTGTTCCTTCAGGTTTGCCAAATTATTTTAAAAATATGTCAAGTTTCACAAAGGTACGAAACATATTAGGTTGTAGATTCCAGAAGGTGTTGTGGTAATGATAGAAATCAGTCAAAATCAAACAAAAACATAAATTTAAAAATTATACATTATTTCAGAGCTTCAAGGACCTGAGCATGATTGTTAATGAGCATGACATTTAATACACAATTTTTAAAAATGTGAAAATGTCTTGGCTTTCTTAATGGTCTTGGTGTTTTCAGACTGTTATAATTAAATTATATTTTATATAAATATAAATTATTTATAAAAATATCAATTAAATTATATTTATATAAATATAAATCAGAATTTGTATTGGGAAAGCTGGAGGTAAAGCGATGGGCAACACTTGTGATTTACCAGTCTTAATCCTCAAATGTGGTATTGAGCTTTGTTTAATGCCTAAAAGAAAAAGATTAGGAGTACAAGCATTCGGAATGAATTTTTTGAGCAGTGTTTCTGGACTCGCTGTGACAGGGTGAGAAGTTCAGAGATCCAGAAAGACCTTGAAATTAAACTATAGGCAAAAGACATTCTGCAAAATTTTTCAAATTGTCATACTCAAGTACTTCTGAATAAAATAGGATACCTCCATTGCTGGGGTAAGGTTGTGTGTGTGTGTTCTCTGCTTGTGTTTCATAATTTTGCTTTCCTCTATTTATGATTGCAATCAATTCTTTACTTGCCTTTATACAGCTGTGGCCATGGAAACGATTGGTACACCTGAATTCAATGATTTGGAGGGGTGTCCCAATACTTTTGTACTTTAAGTTTATTCATCCTCCGGGTCACTAGGGGGCGATATACCTTCCTAATGATTTTACATTATACTCCAAAACGGTATATGTAGAAAAAAAAACTTCCGGGCCAAAGAGCGTGGATTAATCTCGGAACACGTGGAACGAACATAAAAACATGGATACCGAATCTCATCAAAAATTACAAGAAAAACAGAAGAAAAAAATGACAAAACAGAAGAAACCAAAAAGGTCGCCAGAAAAAAATGAAAGTCAAGAAGCTGTCACAGAGCCGGAGAGTCTTGATAAAGCTTCAGAGCCTGTGTTTCCGCCAACATTCAGTGTGTCAGAAATAAAAAACAAACAACGGCGACACATTATGTTCATGAAATTTAAACAAGAGAAAAGAAAAGTAAGGTTCGGGTTTATAACTTCTTTGCCTGTTTGGTGTTCGTTCTTCCGTTTTCCCCAATATGTTAATTATGTAGGTATTTTGAACGAAAGTTATCAAATTATAACACTCGCCCCTTGTTGGTTTATAAGAAATATCTTAGTAAAGCCTTTCATTGATTCGATGAGTACCAGTTGTTAATATTGTTTTAGCTTGTAAATAGATTACATGTGAGCTCCATAATATACGTCCCACGTAGACTGATTCCAAAGTACCGTGAGAGCGTTATGTTCATTATACATGCTAAATTTGTTTTAATGTTAGTGTTATATGGGGTAACTTGTTCGCATGTGTATAACAGTAGCAGGAATCGTCAACTTGTCCATGGCAAGATGTTTTGATTGACAGAAAGAGTGAGAGTAAACTATATAGGCTACATATTTAAATATCATGTCCATGTTAAAATGTGCATGTCGACCAAAATATCCGTCCGAATTCGTCAAGGTAAACAGTAGTAGATGTCTTGATTATAGAGAATTTGTGTGTCTGATACGTTTATTTACATATCTAATGCCCTGCTTTGATATTAGGCAAAGATGGCCTTGAAGAAGAAAATTAAAAAGCAGAGGGAAGCTCTTGGTGATAAGGTAAGACTAAATATTTTTGCATGGTATCTTACCAACCTAAATGGTAGAATTGATCAGCCCAGTGGACTTATAGCTCTACATACTGTATATACTGCAAATTCTCTGCAAAATTTTATTTATTTGATTAGCTTATGATATGAGGTCCTAACTGTATAGAACTTGCTGTCAATACTGTACTTGTTACTGGTCACTCATTAGAAGCTTAATCTAGCAGCACTTGTGCCAGAGTTGACTGCTTGACAGCTGTATCTTTGTGATGTATTTTGTGTCTTATGTATTTATTGCTTTGGATGCATAAAGTATCTGCTGGGTATATAAGTGTAACATTGTTTCAATCTAGGCACCACCAAAGCCAGTCCCCAAAACTATAGAGAATCAAAGAATCTATGATGAGACTACAGTGGATCCAGAAGATGAAGAGGTGAAATATCCCAAATGAAATACTGTGCAACTTCTTTGGATTTGTATTTAGAAGTCAGTATAACAGTGTTTAACTTGTGTTTTTTTGTGGCATAAAGTAATACAAACAGGTAGATATGCACAATTTTTGTAGTTTATTACGCATGTATTTTATTGCATGTTAATTTATTTTTATATCCCATATTTACTGAAGCAACTAATGCTACATGCTTTTGAGAAGTGCTTTAGTAATCTTGCTAATTTAAGATCTTTGCTGACAATTGCATTGTATACTACTGTCATTGTTGATTAACAGTATGAAATTATTCTGTAGGTGGCTTTCGATGAAGGAACAGATGAGTTTTCAGCTTACTTTAACCGGCTGACGAATCCCAAAGTTCTTATTACAACATCCGACAGACCCAGAGGGGTGAGTCCAACCTCTCAACATAAAATGCAGGTGTTTCTGGGTTCAGGTGAATGTATGGTAAGAGTCCTGAACATAGGTCTGCTTTTGAACTCCATCTTGCTGTCTTTCAGAGGACGGTGCGGTTCTGTGAGCAGCTTGGCACCATCATACCAAATGCCCATGTTTACTACCGAAGAGGTTTGGCGCTGAAGAAGATCATTCCTCAGTGCATAGCCAGAGATTTCAGCTACCTTATGGTCATAAATGAGGATCGCAAAGTGCCCAGTATCCTTTGCTTGGGTTGAAACTTCCATGTAAAAGAAAATCTTTCCAGTACTTGTCTGATATGTATTTTTCCTTGTTTGTTTCAGTGGAGTTAGTAGCATGATAATTATTTAAAACTGGGAGCTTAAATTGCTGATTATATTGTAGTTGAATTGGCCGAGTGTCCTTGACCATGTGTTTAAGATGGCCTTGTCCTTTGTCACCTGCCCGATGGGCCAACAGCACACTTTAAAGTCAGCAATGTGCGTCTTCGCAAGGAATTGAAGGTTTCAAAAGTCATTTAATTTTCAATATGTTTGAGGCTTGAGCGTATGTTTGCATTGGTGAACATATATATTTATGTAATCTCTCTCTTCCCCTTGCAGAGGCGGGGTAAAGACCCTACGGACCATTCTCCAGAAGTTATCCTGAACAACTTCACCACGCGCCTGGGCCACAGCCTCGGCCGCATGTTCGCTGCGCTCTTCCCCCACGATCCGCAGTTCGTCGGCCGGCAGGTGGCGACCTTCCATAACCAACGGGACTTTATATTCTTCAGGTTTCACCGGTAATTACATTTAACTGGGGGCAAGAACAGCTTTGTGCAAACACAGTACAAATATTTTACCTTAAACATTTCATAGCCAAAATGAAAAATATGGAAATTTATTTAAATCCAGGGGGAAAGAGTTTTTTTCTTTTTACATAGATGAATATTCAGGTGGGAGCAAGTTTGAGGGTAAGAGTGTAGGGTTCAGCTAGCATCCAGTGCCCCTGGATTTGGGTTAAGTGACCTACTCTTAAAGCACCCACTGCTGGTTTATTTATTTTAGGGCTATAAATTTCTCACATGAATATGTTGCATTAATATTAAAGTCATCACGCATTATTTCTGTGATGGAGTTAAAGCATGCCGTATTTTCTTACTGAAAAGGGAGAATAGCATGAGCATAGATATTAACAGAAACCTATAATACTCCTTCCTGGTTGTAAATAGTGTGAGGTTTTGACGTTGCCCAGAATCCAGTGAGCGTCTCGGGAAGCCGACGTTACCTGGTTGAGATTGTTTTTAAAAAATTGTCAGACAGAGGCATGTATAGGATACATAGGTACATTTGTTTTGTTTCATTAAAGGCTTATACCTTAAAATCATAAGATATGTTATAGGGTGTTCTTTCAGTGGTTGTCAGGCTTCTGTTTTTAGAGCCATTTGCCAAAGAGGTTTATATCAATCTCACAGTGTGGATGTTTCCATTCACCTGTTGAGTACATGAGATTATATGTACATGTGGTGTATGACATTTATCGCCAAGGTGTGTGATTAAAAAAATAATCATTTAACATCCCTTCTCAAATATAATACCTTTGCGTTACATATTGCCACCTGTTTAAACCTTTTTCATCGTATTGAAATTAAGCTCGCATCTGCTTGCAAGTAGTATTTTTGTTAGAAATGAATAATCTGTACAGTACAAGTTTAACTTTTAAAATATGGGTAATTTTTTGCAAAACATTTTTTAGGGGAAAAAATCTTTAGGGTGAATGAAGTGTTTATGGTGAGATATGGTGTTTGTTTTTTTTTGTGTAGAGCAACTAACACTACCTCTTTTGGTATACTGAAATTGTCATTTGTTGCTCTTATTTGATTTTTCAACCATTTGCCAAAAATTTGCAACAGAAAATTACATAAAGTGTTTTAAATCTTACCCATACTGCCTATTTTATATCTTATTTTGTTAAAGGGGGAAGGAGAGTGACTGTCTGGTCAGTGTCATAGTCAGTTTTTATTAAAATGACCCGCCCCCCTCCCCGACAGATACATTTTCCGGAATGAGAAGAAAGTGGGCATCCAGGAGCTGGGGCCCCGGTTCACTCTCAAACTGCGGTCGCTCCAGAAAGGGACGTTTGATTCAAAATTTGGAGAATATGAGTGGGTCCACAAGGTGAGTCTGCCTGTGCTTGATGGTGAAAGCTCATTTGTTCAGGAACTGTGTCATGATGTCACTGTGGTCTGCGTGCAGCATATTTCTGTCTCTGCCTGCAGTAATTTGGGTAATTTTCTTTGTACAGATTTATGCACTGGAATTTTTTGTACTCCTTCAGTGTGTGTGTGTGTGTGTGTGTGTTTGTGTGTGCGCCCCTACACCTCCTCACACAGCTGAACATCAATAGCATCCAAATGTATGTATGTCACTTCCCCTGTCTGTGGACTAATGGCTTACAGAAAAGTAAAGTATGAATTGGCTTAATAAGAAGGGCCTCTGGTAGCCCCTAATCTCAGAAGGTCTTGAGCGTGGCTTTGCTGTCTGTTTCCCTGTAAGAGGTTGGTTTATTGCTGGATCCTGGAGAGCTCCAGTCTGCTCATAATTCTTCCAGAAGTGGTGGATTGGGGCTTTGCTGGGTTCCATTTAGGTTGTTCTATACCACAGTCTAAATGTAAAATTCATTTCAGCGGCACGAGATGGACTCCAGCAGAAGGAAGTTCCACCTCTGAAAGAAGGAAAGAAGGCTAATATCGATACTCTGGCCCAGAAGACCCCCACGGCGGTGAAACTGTTTCTGTAATATGGTGTTCAGTGCTACAACTGTCAAAAGAGACTGTTTAACAGAACGAGAGCCGAATCTGAAACATCTTTATTATTAAAGTAACACACATGAATACAGATTATTTATATTATTTTAAACCGGTTTCAAATATATACTTTTCAAATCTCCAAGCTATTCCTTTTTATTTCTTTTATGTCTGCCTTAAAAGTCTGGGATGATACCATGAGAAAAATAAACTGTGAAGCAGGATATCAGTAGTAAGGAAAGCAAAACAACAGGTTTTGCCTTATAAACAGTATCCACAGTATAATGTAAAAGTGTATTTTTCAGCTTTTCACATTAGCCTCATGTATACCTTTGACAGGAATCTTACCAAAATAATATGGTAATAGTAAAACAGGTATAATGGACAAGAAATTGAATATCTGGTTATATACTGCAGTTTAGAATGCTCTAAAGCTGCACTCTTGTACACGGTGCTTAATATTAACTGAAAGTGCATTACTGTATAAATGGAAGCTCATATAAGGAAAGTGATCTTCATTTTAAACTTGTATATAATAAGTAGTTTATGGTTTCTTGAGCTGGGTAGGCAGTTTGTCACTATGTAATGTGTGGTAAATGGGCAGATACAGACAGACAGAAAATCATTTAAGGATCTCTTTGTTCTCCATTCCTCTTATACCATTTTTGTATTTTAATCTTGGTCAGTATTTGCTTAATTTCAGATAGCCCTGTTCTTTATTTTTCCCATTTTGGCACCCTGATACCACTTATCTGGAAGGTCATCATTAAGTCCTCCTAGGAATTCACCAGAAACTAACCTTGAGATCCCAGCATGGTGGTTGCAGCAGTGCTGTGGGGTTGTTTTTTTTAGACAGACTGAGATTCTATTATTGGTAATATTTCTGGCAAATATTAGTTGCACAGGATTTTGGAAGGATCCACAGTTTTTATATTACAGAATTCCAACAAAATTCCAAAAAATGAATTGTGCAGATTTCGTGTAGGCAGTCACACAAAGATTCAGTGCTGTAACAGTGGGTCTTTTTATTTGAAGAGATATGACAACACTTCCGTTTTCAAAATATTGAATAATATGTCTTTTCGTCATAAAGTTGTTGGTTCTGCTATATTACAGAAGGGGAATAGGAAACCGTCCAGGCATTTAAATTTTATTGACAAGGGTAGGTGGTACTTTCTGGTGGCATCTTCAGACAGTGATGATGTATTGATGACCCTAGAGAATCATTTTGGATGAAGCTGGGTTGAGTTTTTTCAGGATTGCAAACCTGACCTATGTAATTACAAACTGCTGATGATATCACCCTAGTAGCCACCATCAGAAATGGTAACCAGACAGTATCCCAAAAATGGTTGGACCACCTTTGTCTGCAGGCACTAACCTGAAACAAAACTCGCATAGGAATCAATAATGTCAGGGTTTAGTCCTGGAAGTTCCCGGCATCGTGATCTACAAAAGATACACTGACTATGAATATGACAAACTCCATAAAGCAGGAGTGGCCAATCTTATCCGCAAAGGGCCGGTGTGTATGCAGGTTTTTGGGATAAACCAAACGAGCTTGATGGGCCGAATGGCCTCCTCTCGTTTGTAAATTTCTTATGTCAACTGTTCAAACCCAGGTGTGAGGACTCTTCAGCCAATCACTAATCTAATTAGGGAGTTGCAGCTAAAACCCACATACATACCGGCCCTTTGTGCCATAAAGAATACAAACATCTGTGTTTCCAGCACCAAAAAACTCAATACTTCCCAAACCATGGTGGTAAGTTCCTCTTGGGCCATCAATACATAATCACCATCTGGTATGCAACTGTGGCTGCCCAGTTAATAAGGGCGGGTTATCGCGTGTAACCAAATTTCATGACGGTCATCAGCTAGGCTCCCTTTTACTCCAGAATAAATTCCGTAGTTGTGTAGGTGAGATTTCTGCTGCCCCCTGCCTAGGATGTGTCCTTTTCTAAAGACTTCTGGGAATACTAATGGTTCAACAAAACCAGAACAAAGTACCTTATAAATCGCTTTTCTCAGAACATTGTTCATTGTAAAGAAGCACCCTAAACACAACCTTCCAACCTTCATTGCAGCATTCCAGAAATGAGATATTTCTGACTGAATTGTGCTTACTGATGTTGTTTGTAGGTTTTATACACTGTCCACTTAATTGTACTCCTCAGACGAGGAAGACATGGTTTCAGTACTGGTCTGCTACCACTGCTGCAGAAGCTTTCTTGTTAAGAGGTTGACTAGAAAACTATTCAAACTTTGCAGAGGTGTTGCATGGGTGGAGAACTGGAGCTGATTAAATTTTGCGATGATTGACCCCAAAGTTGAAGCAATGGCACAGAGAAAAGGTGATTTCAGACATTGGATTGTGCTAGCGCAATAACTCAAAAAGGATTTGATAAATCATTTCCAAATTTCACAAATTCCATTGACCAGTTCAAATTTTGAAATAAATTGCACCAAAACTGAATCAATGATGTTTAGTGACAGCCAAGAGTAGGATGAAGAGAAGAGGCTTCTCTTCTGATTTAGGGGATTGAAGGTGGATCTGCAGATCAATGGCATGGGAACTCCGATCTCACACAGTAATAACTTAGTAATAATTAATAATTTAGATGGCTTGTATGTTATATAAAAATGTCTTCACAGGACATGAAAAAGTGTACAGTACAGTACTGTTTGTTTAGACATTGGTAATAAATTGACATTTACTGTAGGCTAGCAGACTATTATGGGTAGAGGTTTGGGGTCCCCAATTATTATTCACAAATTGTCACATTCACAGAAATCTGCAACCCCTAACCCTCTCGAATTTGAAGGGGTTACTGTTTCAAGTCTCACTGTCAATCTTTCATCAGTACAAACACTAGGGTATGCAAATTCTAAAGTGTACAAGCTCATTGATTAATATCATGCTGCATCAAAAACCAAAGGGTGCAACAAAATCATGTGTTGGTGTGACCAGTGCTACCACTGGAAAAGTCTGATGCCTTGGAAAGCCAAATCAAAAATCATCCCATTATCTTGCTTTGTGTAGCCCAAGCCTACTTCCCTGACAAAGGCGATAATTGCTGGTTAGCCGATAGCAACACTGAGTTATTTGTCTATCGTCGATTATTGATAATATCATGTCACCCACCCTTTGTGGACCTTGCATGCCCTCCCCATGTCGCTCAGCTTTTCTCTTGGTCCCCCAGTTTCCAGAGATGCAGTTAGGTTAACCGGCATCTCTATTTCCCCATACTGTGCATGTATGCATGTGTGTGCCCCATTATGGGCTGATACTTCCTGGATCCAGACACACTGTGGCCGCAATCCAGACAAGCTGTTGGTAGATTGATGAATTAATGTTGAACTGAAAACAGACCTATAGCTAAGCCATTCCATGTAGTATTCATAAACATGTATGGAACTGAATAAGCTACAAAAAGGAAGTGTTAAATTAATCATTTAATTCAAACTGAAATCAACGTAGGACATTTACAGACATGTAAATGTTCAGAAAAATCTGAATCTTTTCCAGTGTTTCCAGCTCCTTCATTAGTTATCATTACACAAAACAGAAAGTGTATTTATAATTGAATTCCTTGTTATTACCATTTGAAAGACAAAACTGAGCCAGCATTTGCTGGATATATGCTTATTCTTATGACTGAAAAAAGCAGTTTCATTTGGAGTGTTAAATCAGGTTGAAGCAGTTATTTGGTCCCTCTTTCAGTCTTTATAAAGAAAAAGATGTGCGACCAGGACCCTTTCACTTTGGTATGAGGGCTTCCCACATAGCTTGAGTCTGCTGTTCGGCTATGGTGTTATTGCTGTAATCGAGGAGATCGCCGTTCCACATGCCGATCCCGCGAAGGCCCAGCTTCTTCACATATTCCGCCTTTAGAGAAATGCTCCGTGGGTCATCATACCACACCTGGTGGATATCCCCATTGCTGGCCTAAATGAGGAGAGAGAAGGCAAAACATTAACGCAGATTAAATTCCTGAAGATTCCTCCAAATTAAGTCCCAGAGATGAACTAGCAACTGCACCACAGGCTGTACAGCTGGAAATTGTGAAACAGCTGAAATGCATCTGATGGCCTCCATGTTTTTCCCAGCATGCTTCCAGCTCTGTTTCCGGAAAGCCCCATTATAGTTCCTGCCCTTTACTAGACCACAAACTGCACAAAAAAAAAAAAAAACTGGACTAGTGGATGTGGGCATCTATGGGAGGACGAGTGATGGTGGCTCACTGTCTAACTCCACCTTTGGCCAGGCACTCCGAGATGGGACCCTTGGCTTGCCAGAAGATGCTCTGCTGCCAGGTGCAGAGCATTTGGGGCCACAGCCACATGTGTTTGTGGCGGNTCGCTGCAAGGCGCTCCTTCGTAAGGCACCTTCGGGATGGTGCACACCCCCTTCTGAAGGGAAAATAATGGCTGGGACCACAAGCTTCTACATACTGATACTTCAGCCATTTTTAAATGATTATGAAGTGTCAGAAAGGAGGCTCTGAATGCGTGTGAAAGACTCTCCTATTAAATGAGTGAACGGACTCCTACCTCTGAGAACTTCTCACATGGGTAGTCATATCCGTACCAGGGAACCCCCATCACCATCTTCTTTGGATGGATATCCAACAACATATATTCAGCATATCCTGGTAAAGACAACAAGGTATAATTAACACAGAGAAAACACAGAGAAAGAGAAACTGCAAAGGGCACATTCTTTACACAGTAATATGCTCTGAATGAAACTTACCAGACATCGTCTTGAAAAAAGGTGCATTAGCCTTTGCTATACATTCACCCCATATCTGACTTTGCTCATCATAAGACATCACAAAAATTAAGTCAGATGCCTGTGCAATAGCATGGTAGTCATAGCAACGCTTGTCTATACACGTGGGTGACCATGCCACATCAAATGACACCTGCGAATAAGTGATATGGACTCACTGAGCTTATATCAGGAAAAAGCATTTATGAAACATATAAATGCACTTCTGAAGTCATCAGTCAACCATATAATGACATTTCTTTATGCAAAAATCTAAATATTTAATTTTAGTTGATCACTTTCACAATGAAAAGTTATACATGAGAAACATTGAAAAACTAGGAAAATACTAAAACACTAGGATTGACCAGTGACCTCTGAGAGAACATTCCCTTTCACTTTAGAAATGTACACTATATGATTATGAACGCAGGAATCTCACCTGTGAGCCTGGGATCTCTTTATGAAATGCTTCAGCAGTTTCTTTTACTAGGTCATTTAAAGCAAAGTACTCTCGAGATAATGCCTCCACTGGTTGCTCAATGTCAATATTGATCCCATCCATAAACAGTTTCTTTGCCAATTGTACTTTTTCTGTGATCCAGGCAGTTCGGTTGTCACGATGCACAATTTCAGTTACAGGAACATCCCCTAAATGACACACGAGGATTTCATTCATATACAATGAATCATGTATTCAAGCTGTTAACCAAACTTGTTTACCTAAAATGTTGTTTAGTTTATTGCTACTATATAAAGATAAACATTGAGAATATTGTTGTTGGCAATGCCAAATATTAAGTCCAAGCTGGAACTACCTTTCAGGACGAACCTTGCGCCTTTTGAGTGCGCATAACACATAAGCTCTGGGTCATAGGGTCCAAACATAGCCACAGTTGTCACCATACTCCAGTCGTACGACTTCCAGCTTTTTCCTCCAACATCAAATACATATACCTGCATATATAAGATAATGCTTAAGTATTCAAGAGGAACGACCAGAAACTTCAACTGTCATACATAACTAAAAGCTTACTACGGTAAATATGGACGGTGGGTTTCCCCTTTTCTGGGTTGTGTTAATGCAAAAACAGAACAATTACAATAAGACCATTAAGTATAACTTAGTAACACTTCAATCTGTGAATTTTTGCATTTTTGCACAGCGGGAAGTGTACTATTACATTAGTATTAATATTAGTATAGATTAGTAAGCAATAATGGCAGTTTTACACTACGATGTATGCTATGTCCCGGCATTAACACAAGTATACCTCGAAGTCCTTCTCGCCCTGGATTGGTTTGCAGAGCTCTGGTTTGTCACATGGACAGACCACATCCTGAGCTAGGAGCGCCGCGATCTGAGTTGCTAAGAGCAGTATAGGTAACATCCTTTCCACCGTTCACAACACGGCCGCCGCCGAACTGGAGTCTCATGGCGAAGTTTCAGCCTATTTAATTCCGATTAAGATCACGCGAAATCTCGCGTGATTTCATGATATCTACTATGTAACCATAGGACGTTATTTGTTTACACGAGTGAACTGAGATTTTGCTGAAGCATGGTAAAATTAATGCGTCATTGAATCTATGAAAATCATGGATAGCATATCATTTTTTTCCATTGGCCTATTTAATTGGCTCATTTCCACAAACAGACACTTTTGGCTTTACTATAGAACAACATTAACTGTGGAATCCATGATTATTACGTATATATGGATTAAAATTATGTCATTTATAAAAATAAAAGTATTTTCTATCAGATGTGGCAGATAATGGCATTCTACCACTTAGTTAATTTCCTTGAAAATTTCATAGGAAGGTTGTTACATTGTTGGTTAACTTTGAACACTTTAGTGATGTTGTAACACTGCCAACTGTGTTAATTATATTTTTACATGGGATATCGATACGTTCTAGCACCTTTATTATAAATTATGTTCATCAACAGTATTTTGGTTCTTAGCTTGAAATTATTCACTGGAACAACTATCAATAAATATCTTATTAATTAAACTTAGTGATTTATCATTTGAAATTATACGTAGTAATTATCCTGTTAAGCTTTTTCCAAAGATTCAGTATTAATATATATTAATACTTGCAACTCATGCAGATTAGGAAACAAAAAACTTTACTTGACAGGGTACATACTGTATTATATAGTAGTATGCTATTACTTATGTATTAACCACAAAATAAGTTATATACTGATCTCATGTTAATTCATCATTAATGAATCGTGACGAATGTTTTATCTCAAAAAGTCACTGTAGTTGTTACTATATCTGTTAATTCTGTAAACCTGAACTACTGAACAAACTACTAAGGAGCTACTGAAGGAATGAATAAAACAAGTGAAATACTGATCTCATGTTTGTTCATCATTAATGAATCATGACATCTTATCTCTAGTGACTATATTTGTTCATGATTTGTACTTTAATAGTAAATGAGTTGTTATTTGTGCCCCATCAAGTGATTTGTTCCCAAAAAAAGGTCAGTCTCTTTTTACAATATACATGCTCTAGAATGCTTTGAATACATTTGACTAAATTTTCTCTTAAAACATTTAATATTTTGGTCAAAACTCAACTATTCCATGATACTGCTCACTGTTGTAGAACTTCTTATCATAATAATAATTTTTTTTTTTATTAAATATATATTTGCTAACTTAAGTATAATACAGCACCACTTTCCTTCAAGGTCAGTCAGTTGCACTATATCAGGAAGGACTCAGGACCACTTCCAAGATCAGGTGCAATTTGCCTTTGATCTAAAAGACCTCTGCTCCACCACACCCCAAGCCTGGATATACCCGTGATGGGCGGAGCTTGTTGTTTCATATTAATCATGATGTACTTTGAGTTAGAGTTGTGTAATACTGATATGAATGAAAGCCATATGTCTCGATTAGTTAACAAAATCTCTGGCAAAGTAAAAAAAATCCTGTGTAACCATTCTGTAGTGGTTTAATTACAGATTAATAAAGGTCAATGACAGACTATGTGAGCAGTCTGTATATGGTTTGGAACTGAGCTGCATCTTGGGGTTAGATAGAAATTTATAATACGTTGGGCAAACAGGTCTTGTTTGCGTGGAGTGAGCTTATTAAAATTTACTTGGGGCAAGTGTGTGAGCCAAATGGTGGATGACATATCCATCACCGAGCAGCCCACTTCCGATTTCAGAGGAGGTCAAGTCTAATGTGACAGCGTTACAGACCATGCAAAGAAGGTATGGAAGAATGGAACAAAATATAAAATGAAGCTTGCAAGAAATCATGATCCAAGAATCACAATATATGCAAAAAATTGTACATCACATCTCAGATTATCTGTAATAAATCACTGAATAATAGTGGTTTGATGCTGAAGCTCCCATGTATTTGGGTATTTTAATATAATCTCATAACATCATGATGCTTACAATCTTGCTATGTCCATTGTGGGTAACTTTCACATTGGTAATCATGAAGTGCTTCAAAAGGCAAACACAATAATTACATTCCCAACCTGACACGACCCTCTCCAGGCCACCTACCGCCCACACCAGTCCACCGACAGCGCCTTATCCTCAGCTATACTGTATATCCGGCCCTATCCCACCTAGACAGGCAGGACTCCTGTGTAAACATGTTTTTCATTGACTTCACTTCAGCATTGAATACATTCTTTTCTCAGAACCAGACAGAGAAGCTCAGGCTCCTGGGTTTCAGCACACCTCTGTGCAAGTGGATGCTGGGCTTCCTGACTGAGAGACCTCAAACAATCTGCTTTGGCAACAACATCTCTAGCACCACTATGCTGAACACTGGCACCCCCCAAAGACTGGGTGCTCAGTCCACTCTGCTGATTCATGACTGTATCACATAGTACAGCTCAAACACCATCATCAAGTTCACCTGTAACATGAGTAACAGTAGTGGGTCTCATCAGAAGCGATACTGACATTCTGACCAAGTGACCAGTCAGGAATACCAGATTTCTTGGAGTTCACCTGGCAGAAGACCTCACCTGGACTCTCAGCAGCACCACCCTAGTCAAGAAGGCACCGCAGTGTCTATACTTCCTGAGGAATCCTCTCCATGTTCTACAGGCGCACCATAAAGAGTGTTCTAACCAGCTGCATCACTTGGGAATTGCAAAGCCTTAAACCGCAACTCCCTGCAGTAGATAGTGCATGAACATGACACCGGCAAAGTCTCTAGCTTCCTTCTGATGGACTCTTCGTCCTGCTACCATGTAGTTCTCTGACTGGCACGGTGTCACTTTATCTCAATCATTCCCAAACAGCACGTACCACTGGAGGATGACCACCCTGAAGGAACCCATCACCTTTATGTAGGCCCCTTTTGGTACAGTGTTTCCTCCTGTTCTGCAATAAATTTTACCCCTTCTGGGGTCTTTGTTTGCGCATAGTGTCTCTTCAGTCTCCTTGCCCCATGACAACCCTTGTATCTAGCCCCCCTGTTTCACATTGTCCTGTGTTTTGCACTTTTAGTACTGTGAAAACCCTTCCATTGTCACTTGCCATTTGTATGCACTGTGGTCCCGGGAGAACATTAATCATTCCACTGTATACCTGTATGTGGATTGTATGACAATAAAGCCCACTTGACTTATTTACCAGAGTTATACCTTTCCCACTTCTGGAGGCTAGGTGGCACTAACAGGTTGTGAAGCAGCTCTGTATAGTTGCTTACACAGTTCTTGGAAGGCTCACAGGTGTCATCTTTTCAGAGTTACCAAACATGCAAATTTGGAGCCTGCTTTCTGCAGACTTTGATCATGCTGCCTTAGGGTTCTATTTTCCCACCCTATGTATCTAGCAGAGATGGATGAAGAAAAGTTTACTTCCTTTAGAGGGTACTCAGCTATTGAGGCAAACAGAAGGCAGACATTATTTCTGAAAATTACTGTGTATTTTCTTGCCTCTTCTTTTACAAACCGGTCTCTGGATGTTAGCTTTTTTATAACATCATAGCTGGACTTGAAACAATCACATGCTGGACACATATCCCTCCCACACAGTAAGATTAAGATTGAGATAAACTTTATTGATCTCAGGGAGACAATGTGGTGCATACAGCAAAAAGAACACAGATCACAGACAAACACATACTGTATAGTGCAAAACAGATTATGTAAATAAGTAAATATGGTGAACCAAAATAAAAAAGTATACAGTACATAAATACACTCAGTGGCAAAAAAAAGTAAATGTGACTGTATCTGTCATGTCCCGACCGTTCTGAGCCTGTGTGCCATGCCCCCTCATTTACCTTGAGTAGAATCCTCTTGTTATCAGCCTTTTTCTATGTTTAATTGGTTTCTGTGCATTTAAGTGTGTTGCTGTGAATGGTTCCCTAGTCTGGTCATTGACGTCATTCCTTCCTGATGTTCTGTGCTCCTGAGTGTGTCTCGCCCTGAATAAACCCCTTGTTTACCCGACCCCTTGGACTCCTGCGCCTGTTTCCCTGTTCCGTATCAGGGAAGCATGACAGTATCACAATATCTGAGAACTTCTGTAGATGGCAAGAGATGTAATACTGAAAATGCAACAGGAAGGGGGGCAGGACAGTTCCCTGAGGTGCCCCAGTGCTCACCACCATCTCCAACACACAGTCCCACTGTTTCACAAACTGCTGTCTGTTAGTCAGGTAGGCCAAGATTCAGGAGACTATGGGGATGTCAAGCTGCATGAGTCCTGAGCTTGTTACCCAATCTGAGAGGCTGGATGGTGTTAAACACACCAGAGAAATCAAAGAACATGATCTTGACTGTGGTGCCAGCTTTGTCTAGGTGGAAGTAGGCTCTGTGGAGCATCCACACTTATGTGTGCCTGGTACGCAAACTGTAGAGGATCCAGTTGGTCTACTACCAGGGGACAAAGCTGTTTCAATACCAGCCTCTCAAAGGTCTTCATGACATGTGAAGTGATAGCAATTGGTCTGCTCCTTAAGACGGTTGGAGTACCCTTTCTTTGGAATGGGGACCCCACAGGATGTCTTGCAGAGCTGGGGTACCTTCTGCAGACTCAGAGGGAGAACAGGTACTGTAGGACCCCACAAAGCTGGTAAGCACATGTCTTCAGCACCCTGGGGCTGATTCCATCAGGTCCTGTGCAGAGGTTCCCCACTTCATTCCTCACCTGGTCAGCTGAGACAGACTGAGAAGTGGAATGGGGCTGGACCTGGGATTTGGAGTCATTGATGAAGGTTTAACTTTTGCCATATGTTAGTTTTCTATTCTTATCTCTTATGTTAAACGGGTTGGTGCCGACCTGTGTCTTAAATCAGCCATAAAATAGCCTCAAAACAATTATTTATCATCCAATTTATTTCTTACCTCTTGGTTACCTTGTTAGGCGTCCTTATCCATGAAAAGTGTGGCTTTCTGGACCTTTCTTTTGACAGCATACCTCTCATTTTCAATAAAAAAATAATGGTA